CTCTCTCTCTCTCTCTCTCTCTCTCTCTCTCTTTCTCTCTTTTGAAAAGTGAAGTTTACCAATATATTTGATGCATTATGATATACTATTTTTATAAAGTCAACTATACATTATGTATCAGGAAGTGGATAAATAAACAAAAGGAATTCCAGGTTAACCTGGATAGTTTTTTTTAAAAAATATATATAATTCTACACTAAACAATATTACAGTATAAATTAATATAGTAATTTATATTAATTTAACTAATAAACAAAAATAATATTTTTTTAACTAATTAATTATAAATTTTCTTTAAATATAATTTTTATTTTAAATTTTATAATTGATATCTCAATCATTGTAATTATTCTGGTGATATATAGTGTAAATAGTACTATACAGTATATATGATATTATACTTAATCCCAAATATATGATATATTGTTTAAATTTCAGATTTTTATTAATATTTATATAAATTAATGTAAAATTAATAGATATATAATCAACTGGGCATAAATTTTGATCTAAATATAATAAAAATTATCAATTGTATTTGAATAAATTCAATTATTCCATAAAAACAAATAATATTAAAATTATAAATAATAACTTTTTAAAGATAATAGATATAAAAATATTTATTATTTAATTCAACTAATTTATTCAGACACCTAAATATTTGTTATTATATTTAAAATGTTAAATGTGTGATATACTAAAAAATTAAAACTGTCCACAACTCATATCTATAACATACAGTACATCTCAATAATTTTTTAGATATTAAAATATATATATATTATATAATATCAATACATACTGTATATTTTAAAAGTGTTGAGTTATACAACTTAAGTATCAATGTTAAAGATTTGAAAGCCTAATGTAATGTTAGATAGAGTTGATGTCTCAGTGAATAAATATAGTGAACACAAACCACAACTAATATTTATGATATTTTCACAGATAGACAGGTATAACATAAAGCATTAGACATATAGTTTAGTATTAGTATTACTTTAGAGATATTATATGGCTTTAAGTAAATGAATTATTAATATATAATATATTTACAGTAATGTAATATAATTGACTGCTTAAACAACGATTATATTTATGAACTAATATAATGACCAAATTTATCAGTAATTCAGTTAGTTTATGTAATTGCTATTTAGATCAAAATATATTAAAAATCAATAATGTCAAGGTAAGTCTAATATTTATTTTTTAAAAATCCACTTTATAAACATTGTTTATTTTACATAATTATTATTAAATTAGTAAATCTATGTTATAATAATGTTTAAATTATAAATATTCAGATAAAATAATTGAGAATATTTTAGTTAACAATTTATTATTTTATTATTATATCATTTATTATACTGTAATTTAATTGTCATAATCACAAAATATTAAAAAGCAATAAACATATCCCAGAATATTGTATGTAATATCCAGAGTTATCCTCATATTATTGTCACCATACAGTATATGTGACATTATCTTAGGTTCTCATGACTCACCTTAACTTCCAGAGGATTGTCAGCAAAAACAGCAGAGAGAGAGAGAGAGAGAGAGAGAGAGAGAGAGAGAGAGAGAGAGAGAGAGACATAAAGATCGGTATAGCGTTTAATTAATCACGCGATGACTGTTAATGTCGTCAGTCATCGCCAATAATTGTATGTATTATTAGACAAACAGGAGATGAGTTGGTTTAGGTCTTCTCTCCCACAAAACAAACGTGAGATAAGTCTTAATGAGTCATACAATAGACATACAATTGCTAAAAGAGGACTAAAATTTATAATTATATTAATTACAAACGCATTCATAAAAACGTTTTTATTTAAAGGTTTCGTTTGTCAGACAATCTCCTCATTCAATGAATACATGGATACTATATGAATGCTTTACAACTAATTAAATGTGATATTATATTAAATTTTATTATACTGTAGTTAACAAAAATGGCTATTATAACCTATTATAATTTGTTTGTATTAAAAATTGTTTGTTGAGTTATATATTGACATTACTTCACTGTCTCATGAAATTTATTTTTTATGAATAAACATTTTTATATAATATAAATTATATAAAATTACTTTCAATGTTATTATAAATATATATTTTTTCTAAAAATATTGAAAATCTTAAAGTTTGAAACTTTGCCGACATTGCATAAGTCTAATGAAAAGTGATCACATTTGAAGCGTTTAATTGAAAATTTTGTTAAAAATCAAACAATCACTTCAAAAGATATCATATACAGTAAAACTATAAAGTGGTGTTTATTTGGTGAAAAGATATGACAGGTTTGGTCATTAAAAAAGCCATAGGACTGGACTTAATGCCAAATCATTGGTGCGGATCATTAATTATAAGTCCCTTTTCAATGATAGACTAACACCGGTGTTCCTCTCGACAACTCTTCAAACAAATTATTGTCAGATTTTAGAAAAAGAAAGAAAGAAAGAAAGAAAGAGAGAGAGAGAGAGAGAGAGAGAGAGAGGTTTTAATTAAAAAATAAGCTTATCATTAACGACACAAAACTTAAATTATGATTAAGATTTTATATAATTGTCCGCTTTTTAAGACAATACATACAAGGTTTGTATATAGACTTAAATAAAGTTTAACTCAATGACAAAAAATAACTCAAATAATAATCATAATAATATTTATCACATGATATGTTTGCGACTGGATATCATGTCATATAAATATAACTTAAGTAAAAACAAAACAAAAATGAAATAATAAGAGTAGTGAGGAGAGAGAGAGAGAGAGAGAGAGAGAGAGAGAGAGAGAGAGAGAGAGGGTCAATGGCTTATAAAACAAATAATAATAATAAAAAATTGAAAAAACTTTTACAATATACTGTATTTATTATTTTTTGTTATGTATTTTTAGGTCCATTAAAAAACTAAAATATACTCATATTTTGTGTCAAATCATGGGTTTATTTAGTAAAACAATTTTGTTTGATATAACATTGTCAATGTTATGATACATTGATTTACTCCCATTTAATTTTGCGACACCACTAGAAAAAAAATTGTTTATTGATGCTATTTTTGTTTATAATTTTTTTGATTAAACACACACATATGAAAATAGAAAATTTGTATAAAATTATTTAAATATAAATAATCTTAGAAATTTGTATCAATTATTTTTGTTTTGTGTGTTTTTTTTATTATATAACATATTATTTTTTAATAATAAATTAAAAATTCAAGATTCCAAGCTAAATCAGCTAATAATAAATAAATAATAAATAATACGAAAAATAATTTGTTAAAAATCCTTAATAACAAATACTGAAAAATAATTTTATATTATTAATATATAAAACATTTTTTAATTTTAAATAATTATTTTACAAATATCTATTATTTGCATACTATTAATTTTAACTGCATTCACAAAAATATAAAATTATTATGTTATCATCTAATAAAAATCCATGTCAATATACAAATATTTTCCTAAAATGATTTAACTGATAAACATTTTATAAACATTTAAAATTAAATATATACTATTTTATTAATTTTTAAAAAATATTTTCATTATTAGTATGAAAAATTGCAAACAAAATATTAAAAATTAATTTGTAATAAAAAAATTATTCAATTAAACAGAATTTATGAGTAAAATTTTATTTAATATCTTTATTATAAATTAATCCATATTATAAAAAGCTAGAATGAGAGATTATCATATTTGTCAATTTTAATAATAATAATAATAACAATACATGTAATTGTAAACATTTATTTATGAATATTTAAATCTTATTTAAATAAAGCAAAAATTCACATTTATTTTAACTGTTTTTGTATGCTAAAATGTATTTAAAGTAAATGTTAAAATAATAAAAAAATTTACATAATTATAATGTGATAGCTATAAACTTAGGGATCATCATTACAGCAATTAAATTATGATTATCTCTCTCTCTCTCTCTCTCTCTCTCTCTCTCTCTCTCACACACACACACACACACACACACACACACACACACACACACACACACACACACACACACACACACACACACACACACACACACACACACACACACACACACACACACACACTCATAATGTAATATAGTGTTACATATGAGTTGTGGATAAAATCATCATAAAAATAATAATACTACTAATAATATTATAATAAAGTTATTTTTTAAAGAGTGGTATTTGTTTGTTAAGTCAATTCAAACAAAATTTTTATCACTTCCTCGAGGGAACAATTCTTAGGGGTTAAAGAAACTACTGGTTTGGTGTCCACACAAAAACAACAAATTGAGAGTGAATTGAATTCATAATATTATATCATACATACCTGTGTAATACAAATTGTATATAAATAGTCAAATCAAATATAATATATATTTATTTATATAAAATATTTGAAATATTCACACAAATCAATTGCTATGAGAGATATAACAAGACTTATGACAAGTCGGCTAATGATTTGAATCAACATTTAAAAAACCACACATTTTTCGCAAACTTTTCAACAAATTTATCATAATTTTTGGTAATAAAAATTCATAATAAAAAATTAAATCGATATTTATCTCTCAACACTAATTAATACACTAAATCTAAATAAATTGGTATTAAGTTTCAGACAAATGAAACACAAAATAAAAATAATATTTCAAAAAACTGTCATTTGTGCTAATTATGATGTTTTTAATTAATTTTAATTATTAATCATAATATATATGTAAAATTCAAAAATGTATGAAAACATAATCTTTTTTACAGAAAAAAAGTTATATTATTTATGATATGATTTAATCTTTTCTAATCTTATACAGTATTAAACTGTATTTAATTTATACTGTATTCACAGTCAACTGTCTCTCTATTATGAAAGACAAATGTATTGTTGAGTTGACACGTAATGTATGTAATATTAAATGAATATAAAGTCAATTGTTTTATTATAAGCATTGCATAACATTTGAAATATAATAAATAAAACATTAGTTTTGTTAAAACAATTTGTTTCAAAAATATATGATATTTTGTGAATACAATTGTTAATTGAAATACAAATAATAATAACTGAAATCAATGTCTGAATCAGTTCAGCAAAAGTCAGTTCACATGAATTGGAGTTATGTTTGCAATCATTTGACACAACAGTTGCAGTCAAATGAAGACTTCTGGTCTGAATACAAGACGTTGACCACAAACGCTGATAAAGTAAAACATTGTTTGACTCAGCCGTCGATCACCAAACTTGTCGGCGATTACATATCGGTCGTCGGTTCGGCAAAACATCGCAAGTATTGGGAAAAAGCCAAAGAGTTTCGCATTGAAGGCAATGATTGGTTCCGCAAAAAGTGCTACGAAGAGGCCATCGAGACTTATAATCAGGTCTTTAATATTAATTGATAATAACGTTTTGACTTTTATAATAACAAATTGATATTTTAAAGGCAATACTGTTTGCACCGCTTCCAGACTCGAGTCTACCCAAAGAAGCCAATGAAGAATTGTCGCTGAGTTTTGCCAACCGATCGGCAGTTTTTTATTACTTAAAACAATACGACAATTGTTTGCACGATATCAACAAAGCTATCAAATTTGATTACCCGTTGAATACAACTAAACTATATCTCAGAAAAGCTAATTGTTTGGCACTGAAGAGCTGTTACGGTATGGCTAAGAGTGTCATCGATTCACAAGAGTTCAAAGCAAATAAAATTCAAGACAAACACATTGAGAGTCAGATTAATACCTTATTAAAGACAATTGAATCGAAAGGAGCCAGAGATCCATCCAATTGTGTAAATACAACGAAACCTAAAGGCGATCTTAAATTTGTTAGCAATGAGTTGATGCCAAACGCTAGTGAAATGCTTACAATGACTACTTCTGAGACAAAAGGCAGATATATTATCGCCAATCAAGACATCAATCTATCGGATATGCTTTTCATAGAAACGCCTTACGCTTCGGTATTGTTGCCTCAATATTACATAAATCATTGTCACCACTGTTACGGAAAACTTGTGGATAAGCCAATGGTTCCCTGTTTAAAGTGCTCACAAGTCAGATACTGTAGTGACAAATGTGTTATCGATGGTTGGCATGAATGTCATGAGTATGAGTGTGGATATCTCGATATAATGCATGACATCGGTATCGCACATTTGGCTCTTCGTATTTTACTGGTTTGTGGTGTCGATAAAGCTATACAATTGTCGTCAACATCAGTCTCACAAACATTGTCGACACCTAATAGCGATGCATATCTATCTGTTTGGTCGTTAGTCGATCACACAAACGATTTCAAACCAGAAGATAGTCTTAATTACTCTTTAGTAGCAATACTGTTGTTATTTGTAATCAAAAAGTTTGAACTAATATCCAGTAAATCAGAAAACTATGAGTCTTTGGGAGGCATTATCTTAAAACATATTCTTCAGCTTATAACCAATGGTCATTCAATAGCATCGATGGAGTTTATTGGACAGTCATCTAACTTGTGTTTTCAAGACCGACGCATAGCTACTGCCATATATCCAACTGTTAGTCTAATGAATCATTCATGTGATCCAAATGTGATTGCAATTTATGACAAAAAGCAACTTATAGTTAGAGCTGCCAAACCTATTGCTAAAGGACAAGAAGTGATGAACTGTTACGGACCTCACTGTAAGAGAATGTCGCTTAAAGACAGACAAACGGCTCTTTTAGAGCAATACTTCTTTACATGTGATTGCAGTTCGTGTTCAACGGGTTTGGAGGATAAGAGTCGCGCTCTTCAATGCAATCGATGTAAAGATGCAATTATTTTAGACAAAGAATCTAAAGATAATCGTATAATTTGTCTCAACTGCAAGAAAGACGATTTTGATGTCAAAGCAATGCTCCAGAATGTCCAAAAAGGTCTCACATTATTGGCTGATGGATCCAAACTCATAGACAATCAAAATTACGCCAACGCAGAAACAACACTATTGAAATCCCTTGAAATACTGGATCAAGTCTTGTACTCTAAGAACAGAAGTTTAGGTAAAGTGAAGGACGAATTGTGTCGCTGTTACAATCAACTCGAACAGTGGTCAAAGTCTGTCCAATATTGCCGCGAAAGTGTCCACATTGTCACCGAAGTGTTCGGCGACTCAAGTATTGAGATGTCCAACGAATTGATTAAATTAAGTGAATTGGAGTTTGAATTCATGAATAATGTCGAAGGTATTGACGAAAGTATCAAAGCGGCCGACATTTGTCTGGTGACCACTGCGAAGGCCATCAAACTGTTGAACAACTATACTGTTCCCGGCGATCACAACAGTCCACAAATGCAAGAAATCAAACGTTTAGAGGAAAGACTGATGTATTGTAATATGTTTTCCAAACAGTTCCAGAAGAAAGAGCTGTGATTACATCCAGATGGACAAAGTCACTAAAATTTATTTATTTTTATGTAATTAAAGAAAATTTATTTTTATTAATTAAAATATTTTATTTTGCATAAATTCCAGTAATTATATAATAAAAATTGTTTCATAAGATGTATGAATCTATATAAATATAATATACATAATTACTTTTAAGGTAATTGTTAACAATACTAATAGATATAATGGTTATAAATCAGAGTAATTTAATATGTGATTAAATCACATAATTCATGGTTTTGTCACTTCGCCGGTAATTTATCATCACATTAACCATTAGATTAACACAAAAAAATAACAAACAAATTACAACTTACTGTTTGAATCATTGATAATTCACACTATCATCACAACCACGTGTTATCTGAAAACAAAAACAATTTTTAAATACAATTTATCTAAACATTTGTTAATTTAATAAAATAAAAACATTTCAATTAATATCAGAATTAACGAAAGTGTCCCCAAAGATGTTTCAGAAGACCGTCGTGTTTATCATCATTTGATTAAATTAATTCATTATATCTTAATTACTATAAGACATACCATTCATTCAATCTTCATCTTTGTCCACGTGTTGGACATGTGAGCGCTTCCGGTGTTTATTACAATTGGCAAATTATGCCATCAGTGGATCAAATTCATGTCATTTTCATGATAACCACATCCACGTCTTTTAGTAGTGTCAATCGTATCTATAGTTCAATATAAATATCATATATTGTTATAATGTTTGGATCAAATATTTTAAGTGATTCAAAAAAAAATTATAATCAGACATCCAAGGAAGTTAAACTTAATCAATTTATTATCATATCGCTAGTATAATAATGTCATCATATTATCACTTTATATATATATATAATAATTAGTTTATAATTAATTACTTACAATCATTGTCTTTAGCAGACCATTGATGACCATTAGATTCATAACAAAGACAACCTAATGTTAGCAGTGATTGAAATGAAATGAAATGTGAAAATACACGACACGTGTGTTAAGTATTAAATAGTTTAGGCATTGCTTTCATTGAGAGACTCTTAATAGCAATGCATTCATAAATAACATAACATTTTGTTGTTTTCATTTACAATACATGTATAAAGAAAATGCAGAAAACGTTTGTTTTTATGATTGTATCTAAAAATTTAAACAATTGATTGATTTTTTTGTGTATAGCTTTCACTGTATTGTCGAAACTGTAAACACTTTTTTACATCAGAGGAATATTCTGTTTACATGAATATTCTGGTAATTATAAGAAATAGAATAAATTTAATAGTAATTTATTTAATGAAATTTAAATCAATTATATTATTATTATATAGTTTATTATAAATTAATTTATATAATATATTCTCAAAATATTTTTATATGTTATGATATTCTGTAAATTTATGTTATTTTTTATGAAAACCTGTATACATGTTATGCATATATATTCATAGCGTCAGGAATTTGAAATAAAAAGTGAAAAAAGATATATTAATTGATTTATTGATTATAATTGTGTATCCAATAGGAGTCGTCGGATACCATCCCTGAAGGCATAAGACAGCAAAAACTCCTGACATTTGCGCCGTCAGACAATTCAACAGTTGTTTTCAATTGAATTTTTAATGCATTTTCAAGGATTCAATCATTCAATTCGTAGACTTAGCCATCAAATTACTTACCATTCATTAAAGTCATCATTTAGTACATCGACGACACATAAGAAAATGTCATCTAAACGATCATCAAAACTGGGAGAAGAAGAGAGACGAACCAAATTGGATCCGCTGTTGAAGGAGAAGAATTGGTCGCTCGATGGCAGCGGAAGAGATGCTATCAAAAAGCAGTTTCTTTTCAAAGATTTTAATGAAGCGTTTGGTTTTATGACACGAGTGGCTCTTAAGGCCGACCGTATGGATCACCATCCGGAGTGGTTCAATGTCTATAATAAAGTGGACATCACTTTGTCATCACATGATGTCAGTGGTATCAGTGACCGGGACATCAATTTAGCACAATTTATTGAAGAGTGCTATCAGTCTTATAAATAATTTATTTTTGTCTGCCATTCATTAGTAAATATATTATTTACGGTTAACTACTGATAAGTTTTGAATCAAAACAGTCTATAATTGATTAGATTATGATTTGTATTGTTTATACATTTATTAAAACTTCAAAATGTTTTGTTATAAAATTATGTAATAAAATGATAATAAAAAAATCAATTGTTTTTTCTTTTGAATTTCTTTTTCATTTTTTTAATTTGAATTTCTTTTTCTTGTATTGTTTTATTTCTTTGATTTGATTTTATTGTTAGTTTATTCTTGTTTTTCGATTTCTTTTTCAACTTTTTCTTATTTATCTTAAGTTCGACCGTTTCATATGTCTGATGAATGGTCTGATTGTCATTATCATCGTTATCTTCAGTCCTCTTGATTACCACTGGTGTGAAATAAAAGAAGATTTTAATATAAATATATATCATAAATGTATTTCTATTATACCTCCGATATCTTCAGATGATTTAACTTCATTAGATGCTTGTATATTGACTATTGGTTCCACTTTTCTGGCATTTTTAACACATTTGATACCTAATCCTGTTAAATAACTGTCCAAAGTTTCGGGTAATATATATTCTATCTGTAAAATAATTTTGAATTATCTTATTTTAAATTATATGCAAAAACTTAGTAATAAAATTTATAAATTACATTATAATTTAATTTCTTTATCTTTAAATATTTTTTGAGTGAATTCAGTGGTCTATATATGTCAGTCATGTAAACGATGATTGCTTTATATAAAACACTAAAAATAAATAAATATTAATATTACAAAAATTTTAATTAAAATCTATATTAATAATATACTTTAATCGGGACAGCGCTGCGGTCATCATTAGRAAATGTGGCGTCAAATTTCCCGACCGAAGCCATGGTATACAATGACTGATTATAAAATATATAATATTATTATAAAATTTAAAAATTACGATAACAATAATAATATACAGTAGTATATTATCAATAATTATCAACACATTTGAATATTCAATAATTAATACCCGAATGCGTTCATTGAAACGATGATAAACTTTCGGTATATTTGTAGACTATTTACAAATAATTGCAAAAGTGATTCAATTTGTTGTTTAAACGGTAATAATATGCAACCACTGGTGGTGTCATATTTCTCTCTATATTATTATTATTGTTGTTAATAAAATAAATCATATATTTTTAATAAAACAGATATTAATCAATACATACTCGACTAATGTCTCAATTGTATTGTTCATCTCATCCAACAATTTTATATCCATTGCTTGAGACAAACATTTCTTTGTCTAATAAAATGATAAGAAAGTTATATTTAAATATGTATTTAAAGTTTATAAATACTTTAATAAATAGTTTTAATACATGTCTTAAATGTCGTGACACTCGAGCACTTCTCAGACGAATTGTAATCCTCTTGAGAACACTCCTGAAGACAACACATTCATCACTAATAGAGTCGCCCTTTAATATAGCATTCAATGCATTGAAACACTTGTTTATTGTCTCCATATCTTTCAATTCAAAAAATTTTAATGTTATTAATATATCAAACAATTTAATATTAAATTTTTATTTTTAAAATGTGATCATGCTCATTTTTATTAAAAACCCAATTCAATATTACCATTATTATTGACAATTGTCTGGTACTCTTGCCAGTTATGTTGAGCCATTTATAAATAATAGTTTATATTACTGAATATGACCTAGATCAATTAATATGATGATTTAAAAAATAGTTTTATTTTAATTGATTAATTTACCATGCACATTTAAATGTCAAAATATTAGTATTAAATATTAGAAATAATAGCAAACATGGAAATCATGTGATCATAGGGCGCAACATTTGAAGATATAGTTTATTAATAAATGTTTTTAAAAAAAATATTATTAATAATTTTATAAAAAGTTTAATAATATAGATTAATAACAAACTAAGAATTGTATAAAATTTTGATTTAATTATTAATTTCAATTTATTAGTTTAGTTATCATTATAATCAAAAGCATTGTTTGAAATATAGACTTAAATTTAGTGCCAACTTATGATTGCAAAAGTCAACGCAAACTCAATGCAAATAATTGAATACAAATCATAACAAACACATGCATTCATTCATTCAATAATATAAAAACTTTTTTTTTCAAATTGTATTTTATGTTTAAATGACAATTAATTTTTACAAAATAATATAATCATTGATTTATTAAATAAATTTTGATAAAAATATTTATCTATAAAATGTATTTAAGAAAATCACTGAAAGGTTTTCAATTAATGTAAGTTTTTATTTGCAATAAATTTACTCTCAATTTGTATTATTTTTTAATTAATTTTTTAACTGAAGTATCGGTCGACAAAAACTTGTGAATTGGTGTCAACTGAGTGCCACTCGAAGACATTTGAGTGATAATCGAGACAATGACGACAATTCAGAAGATAATATAATTAAAAGAGTTGACAAACAGATCGGTCGAGATTTGAAAACAACTGAAGAGTCACAAGAAGACAGATCTGTTCGCGCAGAACAATGTCTGAACCAATTGATTGATTCATTGAAGTCGAAACAAACGTTAGGTCCCAGCGATGAAAGACTAAAGAAAATATTGGCCAAACCAAAGACACACATCAGACAGAGTGCTAGAGAGGAGATCAAAGTTGACGATAAAATTGAAGACATTAGGAAGTAATGAATTTATCACAAGAATAGGAAATCAAGTTTTTTTCTAATGTCTTGTTTTGATTTGTTGACCAGATTTGCCGGTAATATTGATGAACGTCTGGTTTTGGCGGCTAAAGGTATCGCACGGACGCTGAGAGGCGAACAGTCGAAGCGTACTGAAGAAGATTTGATGAAATTATTGAAATTGCAAAACATTGAAACCAATTACGCAAAGAAGGGACGAATTCTGCCAAAAGAAAAATTATCGTCAGTTCAGATCTTTTTTTGATTATTTACTCAATTTAAATGATTTTTTATATTTTATTTAAATTTCAGATCAATTTTATCTGAAATGAAAGTTATTAAAGAAGAACCTAAAGAACAATATTTTACACCATTGGCACCAAAGGTCAGCAAAAATGAAAATACTGAAACAAATGACATATTTGGCAATAATAGCAAAAGAGGTAAAACTATCGCTGATTTTGTAATAAACGACGTGAACTTTGACGACAGTGACATCGGTATCAAAGTTCGGCACAAAACAGTCGCTGATTTCACGAATAATACAAATCCGTTTCAAGAGGAACTTAATTTTGAGTTCAGAGAAGGAACCAATCAATTGAAACAAACAAAACCATTTCAAAGACAAAGAAAGACTTATGTAGACATGGATTCAAAAGGACAGTCTGTTTCGCATTCATTAATGTCTGAAGATCTCGAAGAGATGACAGTATCGAAAACATTGTTTCAAAATAGACAAAAAAGACAGACCTCTTCGGGACAAAAACATAATTTGTTTACCGGTGAAGATATTGGCATATTTGAGGCCAATATGAAAGAGGCGGAAGATTTGCCAAAATTGTTAATTTGGGACAGACTTTTAGAGGAAGAGTTACGAGACGTTGTCGCACAGCCACCGATGAATGCGTTTGAAGAGATGATTCAATGGACTGAAGAGGGAAAACTATGGAAGTATCCGATAAATAACGAACAGGGTATGTCGTCTGTCATTATGACCTAACTGTCCCATCATATTGTTAGATGAGTTTAATGACTGTTTAAACAAAAATCTTTAAATATAGTGTCTATTAATAGAAAGAGAGCTAAAAAATAAACTTAGTTTCACTTTTAGTTTTAATGGTATTATGAAAAATATACTTCAAGTTTATGTGACACCAAATATGCTGTAAACAAATCAATCATTAGATTATTATTTAACATTTATTCGGTACACTATTTCTAACTTTTTTTTTGTTAACATTTTGTTGTTACTATAACTTAGATTTGCAAAATTTATAGTTTAAATTATTGAATAAATTTATTTTACTGTAGTTTGTTTTATTAGGATTTAAGTTATTTTTAGCATTATTTTGGGATAAAATTTAATTATAAATTACTTTTGATGATATATTTTCTATTTATTTAAACCACAGGTCTTGAAGAGGAAGAAAACGTTCCTTTCTATGAACACGTATTACTCGATCATCTTTTGGATGGCTTTCCTGAGTCGGGTCCCATCAGAAAGTTTATAGAGTTAGTAATCATCGGTTTGTCATCCAATCCATACATTTCTGTTGAACGAAAACACGCGACCGTTCAGTACTACAGACAATATTTTAACGAAAATAAAGACTTACTCCAAGTGGCCGGTGCTCTGACATCGGCTTGACTTTGATTAACATATTTATCTCACTTAACATAAAATTTATATAAAAATAGTTAATTTGTTTACAAAATAGTAGTCATATAATAATTTGCTTTTATTTTGAATAAATGTGAATTACAAATGTTTTTTCAAATTGTCTTTAATTAAAATTAAACAAACATTAAATCAAAATAAATCAAAATAAAATTGTTTACTGTATATAATAATAATAATTAGGCAGTGAAGTCTATTAATTTGATTTATGTTGATTTATATATCTATTCATATTTTAAAAATTTGTTTATTTAATTTTTATATGTCGTATATAAATGAGAGTATTTATTTTAAAACAAAATGCATTTTCACTAAATTTAGTAATCAAACATAAAATTTGATATATTTGTCAATTATTAAAATTAGCGATTAACACAAAAATTTATTTCTTACTCAAATCAAAATAGTGAAAATTTAAAGCCAAATAAAATTGTTTTTTTAAATATATCAAATCGTATCGGAATTTGAGACAAATAAAAGAGAGTAAAAAGCTTTTTAATAGTGTTTTTAAAAAACAGAAATAAATAAAAAGAAATAAATATTAGGCATAAAATTAAATTTATATGTATAGTAATGAAAAATAAAATAGTAGTTAAAACAGTGTGTGACCATCAAATTGTTTGGTTGTTATTATTATAAGTTATATTATAATTTATTTTGGTTTTCAAAATAATATAATAATAATAATTTAAAATGTGTTAATTTAAAATAATAATAATAATTTAAGAAGTAAAATAATTATAATAAATTATCTGCAATTAAATTGAATTTTTATGGAGCATTTGTGAGGACTGGTTGGTTGGTTGTTGTGTAGTGTCTCTCTCCCTCCGTCCCAAATGTGGTCACCACTTGTGATCTACATGTGTCTGGTGTTACCGAAATTAATACCACTAGCGTTGGCGCCTTTGTTTGTGCCGTACTGTAGATTAATGACACTCTCGCCGGCGCGCAACTGCTCTTCGCTAAAGTTCCTCTTGTTTTCGTCGGCCGGTTTCGGTCCGAGGAATGGTCCCGGCCATTCGGGGTGCAAATAACACTGATAGATCAATTGGACGGGTAGGTTATGGGTTAGTCATACCGTTTGAAAGCTAATTTAGTGGCTATTTTATAAACATACGGTTCGTCCCAAAGCCATAATACTTTGTGTCACTTGTGGTATATTTCTTCTTTCGTAAAGATCTACTGTTTGGAAAACATCAATGTCTGGAACGCCATAGTTTCTGATAGCGGTCTGAAATTTGTTGATATTCTCCATCATCTTAAACTGACCGCCTTGTGTGTTGACTTTTTGAATGGTTCCCGGCTTTAGCTTATTCATCAATCTAGACATTCAAACGATAATTTTCATATCCAAACACTATTGTAATGTCTTTGATATCTAATGTTTATTTCGTGACTGAACTATACCTGCAAAGAATAGTTCCATCGCGAAGAACATCCTCAAAGGAACCGGCGGGCAGTCTCTCTCCAAGAACTGCTTCAATCCAACCTAAGACTTCAGACTCGAGCTGAGCATCTCTTTTACCGGCGATCTGAAGGTATGAGACATTAAATTATGACATAAAATAAGAAATTCTTATAAGTTTTTAGTTTATTTTTTGAAATATTTATTGATGTAAATGATAAAAATTATGTAAGTATTAATATATATATATATATATATAATAAATTCTATGCAATTATTACTTTTAAAAATTATTATTAGAAATAACAATTATTGTATTTTTTCAATTATATAATTTATTGAAAATAATTACAAAAATATCTAACTGTTGTTGTCTAACATTTTGTACTGTTTTCAAAATAATATGCAATCTATGGTTGTTTTGCTGAAATCGGCAGAAAAATCTTTTATATAATGAAAGTGCACTTGAATTCAAAGTGAAAGGCATTCATTGAATAGTAAATATTATTTTAAGTCAATTATTTTTAAACTAAACACTTTTAGACTTTTCAAGGTTTGTGTTGTTTTAAGTTAAAGATAAGCATAAAATTTTACTAAATTTTCAGAATTATATATATTTAAATATTTCCTTGATATTTGCAAACTTAAATATAATATGATATTTAGAAATAATTTTTTTAATTATTTATTTTTAAAAAATGAACTTTCGCTCAAAAATTAATGAATCGGGAAATTCAAGTAATACTATAAATACTATGAAATAATTGTGTGTTGAAAGCAAAGTTATAAAATTACAAAATTTCTAGACGTTTCCAAAAAGATAATGAATTACAGAATCTAATTATATAATCAAAAGGTCAGACATGTTGTGTGTGTATGTATAGGGAATGGTAGATGAGTTTAATATAAGAATCTCTTATTTTTATCTTTTATTGTAAGTGAGAAGAAAAAATAGTTTCGGTTTTATAATTTTGAAGAAAAGAAATCGTTTATATATTTTTAGTGAAATCAAACACTACTTCTATACTTCCTATTTCATAGTCTGTGTCCAACATTGCATATAAAATGTTAAAACAAGTAGAAGAAGAAAAAGTCATAGACATCACTGAATTGGATTAAAGTCAACAAAAAATTAAGTTTTAATATTTGAGGGCAACGTCTGGAGGAGACACACAAAGTTTGTTTTAGTAATTCACAAGTCGTAAGAAATATGAGTACATATTTAGTTATATATATATATATGCATACATACAGTCTGTATAATATGTATCTATGATTATATCCATAATTAATATTATTAGCAAATGGTTTGTGTCTGATATTTGGTTCATAAAAAGATTAACAATTTCGCACACATTATAATCTCCTTTAAACACAAAGTGTTTCATCAATTGCTTGAAGAGAAAATACTGTTCACAATGTCTAACAATTTATTATAATAATTATTAAATGTATTAATGAAGCAATCATTTTGATTGATAGCATATGCAATAAAGCGTTAAATTATTAGACATAAATAACTAAAATATAAAAATTATTTTAATTAATTTGATTAGAAATTAATGGACAAATAATGTGTGTATATGTGTCGGGACTTACTTTGTTGGCCACTTGAGCACTGAGACCATAGTTGGCTCCACGCGATGCCATTTGTTATGAATTTAGGAGATTGTGTGCCAAAAACACAACTATTAGTAAAAGTTTAGTATAAAAAACTGTTGCAAACGATATGCAGAAAAAAGCTTGAGATTCAAGTGGAAGGAGAGATGCAGAGGAACTGTCACTCTTAAAGAAGAACTGTTCACAACTGAGCAACACTGCGAATGGAGAGACACACCACTGAAGACAAGGGATGTTGTATTTAATTAATATCCAAAAATATCCTTCACTTCTGGCACCAGTCGTAGGTGACGCCCAACACCAGCATTGCGTGAGGGCTTATATGAGGCCCAGTGATAGCATTCCGATGCTTTGCATCACAGAATGACATCACCAGTCGCTTCCATATCTGGCCTTAAATGAGAGGATAGTTAGGCAAACACCAACTTCTCTACTTATTCTTGTGGTGCGTCTGTCTAGTAATACGTTTATTATTAAAATTATGAAAAACTAATTTATGTGTTTCACGTATTTCACGCAATACTAGTAAATGTCACACAAAAATATTAAAAGCAAATAGTTTTGGGACTCAATTATTATTAGAGCCTATAATATGACAAACCCTTTGCAGAAATAGATATCATTGCATAGTATTTACCGTTAATATAGATATAGACATTCAAGTGTAACACAGGGTCTGTCTGTCATATAATCTTTGCATTTAACAAATTGTTTCAACAAACTGATGAAGACATCAAAACATAATAGCGACTACCTGTGCCTCCTGTCTGACCAATTTGACTAACTGTCCCCTAAATGACATAGAGACTGCCGCCGTATTCAGTGTAATGACCCGATAGTATAAACACAAGTTGTCGTACAAATCTATAATTACCACAACTATTGCATTAGTTTAGACTTATTTTAAGAATTCGATATCATTATGAAGACCTCCGCACCCATTATATAAACTTAATGTTATTATTATAGTCTATGGGCCCTATCATAGTAAGGGTAGTGCACAGGGAGGTAGAGAAAAATAGAGAGTTACTGGCGATAGTGACAGGGCTGTGATGGCAATGTGTCACAAGAAACTACTACTAGACTAATATGAAGATAAATGTAACTAAAAGTTAAAAAATTTATTTTAAGAATTTTTATTCATTTCTCTCTCAGGGTTTCTGTAAAGATTTGAAATGAAAGAAAGAAAAACATATCAAACAAACAAAATGACTATTTTTATTGCAAACTAAATAATTTTGTTGGAAAAACTTATATAAAATAACTTTTTTCTCCGTTCAAAATGTGATTAGAGAGACAACTTAGTTATCGAGAGCTCATCACTGGAAGAGAGAGAGAGAGAGAGAGAGAGAGAGAGAGAGAGAGAGAGAGAGGGCTTTGCAAAAGATCGCTCAGTTTTTTAGTGGTGTATATATAATATGATATATAAATACAAATATATTTAGAAAAAAGATTTTGGGCTCACATTTGTTGCTAATTGTTTCTAATTTAGGCATCGGATTAGGCATAATATACTCGTAATATACATTGAAGTATATGGTATGCAATAAAATTAAAAAATATTTTTATATATTTATACGTATATAACAAAAATTTATAGCATTTTTTTTGGTTACTTAAGGCCACAATAAGTTTGTCATTCAAACAAAATACAACTTTTTTATTATTACATTTATTGCTTGTTTGTTGAGTAATCATTAAATCACATGTCTCTCCAAAATATTCATTGATAGAGAATATTCTGGTAGCTGTAAATAATTTTTTAATCAAATAAAAAAATACTTAAAAGTATTTATAAATTATAAAAATAGCAATTATTCAAACTATTAATAATAATTAATTGTTTTAGTAATACATAATTTACATTTAAAAAATCAAAGTTAAAAATCCATTTAACTAATAATTAGTTATTAATAACACAGTAAGAGTAATAAATTAAAAGAAAAAATTAACGTCTGATTTGATGACTTGGAAGAGTAAGAGAGATAGAAAGCGTATCTCATTTGTTATCTYAAATGTAAGATTAATTTAAACAATTTAATGTATGATACAGTATGTACTTAAATAGTTTGTTATAAAAATAAATGTCTGAATTTTTTTAAAAAACGTTTTTAACTCTATTTTAAACGTATAAGCTCTTCGTTAGAAATCTTCAAGAGTTGATTAAAATTAATGGTAATGTCAGCCCTCCAGAAGCGGCGACATTTGCCCCACACGTCGGCCGGATATCGGGGACTCGCTATTCCTTGCAATATACGTGCAATAGCTCTGGCACTTCCAAGTGTTTGTATGCCGTGAATGGATAGTAGATCTCTAACATCACGTCTCGCCTGTTCCAAGTCGTGAACATGAGTTCCGCTAAACATTTGCCTAAAGTTTTCATCGCTAAAGGCATCGCTTGAAAGTTTAGAGTCAATGTCGTCGTCGTTAAAGTATTTATTTAACTGTTGTTTTAGCTGAAGACTCTTATTTTGATTAATACGATTCGTGCAATTGTTTTGAGAAAATTGTCTAAATGTCAGATAAACGTTACGAAGTTTTGACACATCAAGTGATTCTTGAATTTGTGTAAAATCATAGAGATATTCAAGACATTCGTTAAGCTTATCTTCGCTTAAGTCGCCGACACTCTTGAGATAAAATGACAGATCAGAGAACATAATTCTAATGTTAGTTCGTTTTTTACGGCCATTCACTTCTTGCCACTCCAATTGTCTTAACTCATTGCGTACGGCACTGATAGGGCGGCCCAACATTGAGCACACCTCCACTAAATCAAATTTCATTTGACTTGGAATATCTTGAGTTGAATTACTCTTTTGATATAAAGTCAGAGCAATACCAACAATAGGACATCGTTTAGACAGTGCTYTCATCTGTTCGGATCCATTTCCATAACATAATAGAGTGCACATTGAATTTATAGGGGATAACAGATGTACTTTATCTCTACAAAAATCTAACTCTAAATATGTTATTAATGTTGATATAGTCTCCTCTTTTAAATCCAGTTCCATAACAGTCGGCTCTATTGGAAAAGCAATCTCATGTCCGACGCATACACTGTCCATAGTTTGGTCAGCATTTTCGGATTCAAGATTAGCAATTGATCGACATTTACAAGATTTGAACACTTTTTCAATTAATTTTCTCAAACATTTTCTATCCGTACTGTTAGCATAAATATGTCGCTGCAATTCAAACAAATCACTTCCATCTGAATCTAGAAACAGATGACAGTGCGCTTCGAGGCCATCCCTACCGGCCCTTCCAATCTCTTGTAAATAATTTTCAAAACTCTTTGGCATATTATAGTGTATTATGGCTCGAATATTAGCCTTATTGATACCCATTCCGAAGGCAATGGTGGCAACAATTACTCTCAAATCTCCTTTTATGAAGCGCTTCTGTACTCGACTTCGTTGGTCAGAAGTCATACCGGCGTGATATGCCTGTGCGTCCCAAACTATACGACTCTTTCCTGTTTTTTGATTAGTTTGTCTAATATCTTGAAAACTAATCCTTATAAGTGTCGCCAGTTTTTCTGTTTGTTCTCTTCGCGTACAATAAACAATAATAGACTTCAAACTATTGAATCGATCACTTCTAAGTAAATCAATTAAAGCTAACTCTTTGTTAGAATCTCTGGAAACCGATAGCACAAGATTTTCGGGCACTAATGTCGTACCAATTATGTCAGTGTCGGGATCGAGACCCAGAGTACGGGCTATAGTAAGTGACGTCTTTTTAGTGGCAGTTGCTGTCAATGCAAGAAATGTTTTTATTTTAAGTTTGCTTTTCAATACGCGATACAATTGAAGATAAGATGGACGGAAATTATTGGACCACTCGGACAAACAGTGCGCCTCATCGATACAGACAAAACCGATTGATGGCAAGGAATTTAAATTAACACATGTATTGCCACCAGTTATGGCTTCGGGACTCAATAATAATACTTGTGATTCACCGGATAATAATGAGTTCATAGCTGTTTGTCTTTGTGATGGACTGAGACCGCTGTGAATACAAACAGCTTTAAGACATTTGGGAAATGTAGTCAATTGATCCTCCATTAGAGAAATTAATGGCGAAATAACTAAAGTAATTGCTTTCCTATATTTCCAATACAAATAGGCCGGCAATTGATAGCACAAAGATTTTCCCGAACCAGTCGATGATATTAACAGACATGACTTTCCACTTAATATGCGATTAATTGTAATCTCTTGATGTGCTCTAAATTCTTTGTGTCCCATAGTCATCAAAACTTCATGTATCGATTCATCTTTTAGATCACTCATATCACTAATTAGGGGTTCAATTGCAATGTTTTCTTGTATATCATCGATACCTTTACTAACGCCCAACTTTTTGAGTTCGTCATCAAACACATCAGCATCGGGTGCGTCAATGTCTGTACAATCTTTAGCCCAGTGACCAGTGGCACCACATTTGTAACAATTGTTGCGATTTTGGTAAACCGTTTGTTTCCATTTTGTTCGCTTATATTTTCTTATATTAAATTTCTTGTAACCTCTCGACGCAAACATTTTCTTCTTCATATTTAATCTCTTGAAATTGGTCTCAACTTTCTTTGTCTTTAATTTCTTTGACTTAGTTTTTGTTATCTCTTTTGACGATTCGCTTTCAATTGACATTTGATTATCGATATTATTTGTACTTTTGTCAGTTGTTGTCCTTATTTTAGTAATAGATGTTGTCTTAATGTGTCTATCTTTTGACATAACTTCGATATGATTGTCAATACCTATGAGTGAATTAATTGTAATCTTAGTCAAGACATTCATTCTTTTGTTTCTGTCATTTGATGTAAAAAACTTTTTCGTCGTCTTCTTCTCGTTTGTTCTACAATTGGTGTCAATATTTTCTTCGCTACTATTCATTGGACTAACAGAATAACCTGTTGTCTGTTGTTTATTCTTAACTGTGTCTAAATCGGCATAAATTTTTCGTTTCGCTGTTTTTTCGTTAGTGTTGTCATCAAAGTCGTCATCAAAATCAAAGACATCTGACTTGCGTTTGATTCTCGTATGTGAAGAACTGATGTGAAGATCACTGAAATTGAGTGAATCTTTAGATCGCGAGTCCGATTGCGGTTCAATAACTTGTGTAGTCTGACCACCAATTCGGACATTTTTATCACTTTTTGAAATGACATCAATGTTATCGATTCTATTGATTATATCATCAATAAGGCTATTGTCTACCATTGGTTGAGAATAGCCATCCAACTTGTCTTTCGGATCTGTATTTTGTTTGTTATTATTGGCTTTAAACTCATTAGAAATTGATCTCAAAATTGATTCGTCAATACTCTTGGCTCTAATTAACACCGGATTAAGTTTAGGACAACCTGTGGTCACATTATCATCACCAGAGACAGTGATCTCATTTAGTTTTTGTTCGTCACTTTTAACACTCTTTACACTATCAATTGATATAAGTCTTTGTGTTAATCTCTTCCTAAATGACATCACATCGCCGGTACGTTCTTTGCCATCATTGGTAGTCGTAGTCTTTACATAAGTGTCGAACATCTTCTTCGACAACGAATTGAAGACATTGCGATCGGAGACAGAGTTTTGGCTGTCTTTATGCGTCTCATTCTTGTTATGACTTTTACTCCAAACATCATTCTTGTTGTTTGACTTCCGTATTAGACTCCAGTACTTCTTGTACTCATATCTGATGCCATTATCTGAATCGATGTCCCGTTTATTGGGTTTTCTGTCATTCGTATCGCAAAACTCTTTCTCCCATTTCTTGATTTTTAACTTCAATTGTGTTAGTTGTCTATCTCTAGTCGTAAGTTGATCTGTCATTGTGTCCATCGATGGTAATGACAATCACATGACATGTCAATCAAAATAGTGAATCACTTCTGAAGACAAACACAAACACAACAAACATCTGTCACTTCGCGCCAAACATTTGACGACTAGATGTGTGCGCAGTCTTTTCAAACAACAATATTGTAGAGACCTATAGTAAATGTGCGGATAATTAGTTTTTCATATTTCATTCAATTTATATTATTGTTAAATAATTTATTATTATTTTGATTATATGTCTTAATATTATTAGTATTAAACATATATTTAGTTTTTTAAATTATTGATTTTATTGTTTATTAATTATTATTGCATAACATTAAATTAAAAATAATATTTAGTAATTTAGTAATTAATTTGAAAAATAGGCAAATTATAACTTATAATAAAATTAATCATCTAAATTTATAAAAATAAAAATCTTTATTTTTTGTACATATTTTTTATATTCATATTATACCATATACTGTATATGTATACCAAAAAAAGTTTTTAGGAAGTTTATTGAATAACTATTTTACTAATAACTTACAGTATGTAACTTACATTATACATATATAATGTATATGAAAATGCTTTACCAAATATTAATCTATTTTATATAAGAATATTTATTACAACAATTACAACATTATATGCATCGTTTAATTTATAAAATGTTAACCAATTAATAATTATAGTAAACTTCAATTGCTAAGGAATTTATTATTATTATTATTATTTAATTAATAAAAGTTATTACAAAAAATATTGATTTTAATTCTAATTTATAATTAATGAGTTTTTGTTTAACGCGTTAATTATTAAATAGAAATAATTAACATTTAATTTGTTATACTATTAACTTAAATAGTAATTGTAAATTAAGTGTTTACTTTACTTATTGTAATTAATTAATTTAATTATTTATTGTTAAAATTTATCAAATTTTTGTTTATTTGATTAAGACATGTGTTATATTTCTCAGATTTATTACGAAACTATAGTATTATCTAATAATTTGCATTATCTATTAAATAATACATTAACTCATACATACATATAAATTATAATTATGTTGTATAACAAATGTTTAACCATTTAGTTGACTAAATATTCTTGTTATTACAAATATAACAATTATGCATAATTCACTATATAATAATAATAATAATAATACAAATTAAATTGCACACATTTATTTACAAGTATACATTAATTATTTATTAATATTTTTTGTTTTTAAATTATAACAATTAGTAATTATAATAATAAGAATATAAATACTTTTAAAAATATTATTTTCTTAATTATTAATGTTAACATAAGAGAAATTTTAATAACTTCAAAAATTGATTTTATTTTTTTACAAAAATAATTAAAATTAGTTTTTCATTTCAATTTTTATAAATAGTCTTACATAGATACATAATCAACTAGTAGTCATTGTTTGTTAAAGTATAAGTTTTATGAATTTTTAAATATAATTTTTTATTAAAACTTCCTTGTACATAAGTATATAAATTTATTAGTTATTGAAGAGTTTGTAATATTTATTTAAATTAAAATCTAAAAAATTTTCTTAAAAAATAAGTTAAAACTAAAATCTGTATTAAAGAAAATATTAAAATTAAAATTAATATAATAATATAAAAATGACAAATTTAATTTAAGAAAATTTTAATCTATTTATCGAAATCTAATAATAAAATTACCGGTAATAAAAATAAAAATAAAAATAAAAATAGTTTAATTTCTTTTGATTATTTTTTATAATAAAAAACTGTTCTATTATTAAATAAAAATTATGAACTCATTCAAGTGTATTAAATATATATATATATATATATATATATATATATATATATATATATATATATAATGCTTATACAATTGATTTTTTATGTGAAATAAAATATAAATTTTTAGATTTTGTTTATTATTATTACACTAGAAAATTCACTTTCAATAAATTTGTAGTAATAACGATATAATGTATTTTATTTAATATTAATACTGTATAAAAATGTATTTGACTCAATAGTTTTCACATATTATTATCATATAATTTAAGTTTTTATCATTTTCTCATTACAATTCTTTTTTATAACTAAATTATACTTTAGCTAAATTTAACTTAATTTAAAATTGATTTTAAATGAGAATAACTATATTATTATTATTATTATTAGAAAAAACTAATGCATTTTGTTATATTATACTTAAAATTTTAAATTAATTTTAAGCAACAAATTCCTATGAGTATATATCTACTTAATTTAGCGAAACTATCAATAAAACAATTACTCTAATCTTTATTTCATTACTTAAAAAATCCATTTAATTATTCATAACTTTGTAGAAATCTTCACAAATATTGGCATTTAATGAACTGAAAAGTTGTGATGAAGTGACTTATAATTAGTACAAAAAAGTCATTTATTCTTAAAAGCTTTTTTTAATAAATAATAAAAGACACTAAATATTTAAAATTATTTTAATTATACGTTATATTTATTATAAATATAATTGCATATAAAATTTTATATACGTTTTTTAACAATATAATAAAGTGTCTAAAAAACTAAATTGTAATTTACGTGTCACTAAATTATGAAAATTAAAACAAAAAATAAACAACCGATAAGTGATCCGAGAAAATAATATATGCAAATGTATTATTTAAAAAATAAATTAAAATCTTTTTTAGCAAAATATTGATTAGACTAATAACTTAATTTTCATATTTTTAGATACATTGTTGTTATAAATTACTCAGTGGTTTTAATTATAATTTACTGTATAAAATAAAACATACAAAGAAAAGTAAGGCTTTTAATCACATTATTAATAATTAGTAATTATTTTTGGTTTAGGATTATAATTATAATAATTTAAAAAACTATTTATAATAAGTCAAAAATTCTAATTGTTTTTTGTTTGTTTGCCTTAAAACTGAATGAATGTTGTGTCAAAACTTATGTCAACACATATAATAACTACAAATAAACGTTTCATTGACTTTTATAAATAATACAGTATTTAATTTAATTTATTTAATTCAATAGTTTTTATTTAACAATTGTTTTATTAGATTTAATTTTTAGCATATTTTTGCTATTGTTATGTTTTTTCTGAGAAAGAGAGAGAGAGAGAGAGAGAGAAGCATTGAAATCGTAAGTCAATTAATCGGTAGTGAATTTTTGTGTATATTAAGTGGTCATTGACTGTATTAATTTGATTGCAATATATACTACATTTTATAATTCACATAACACTTAAAATAAGAAAACATTAATTAACTAATTTATAAATTTAAATATATTAGAATTAGTATTAGTTGTAAACAGATATATAATTTTAATATATTAATAGTAAATTTTACTTCACTTCAGTACCAATTGTGCTAATATTTTACCGTATATTATATTATGTACAGAAATTTATTTTCTTGAACATTTATTATTATTTAAATGAAATATGCTCATGGTAATACAATAATTATTTTTTTTAATTAATATTATAATTAGTAGTAATAAATTGTAATAATATTAATAACAAAAATTATAATCAATTAATTTGAAATTTGGAATTTTGGTTTTATATCTATTAAATTGGATACTTTTATATTGTATTATATTGTATTGTATTTGATAACAATTTATAAATGATAAGTTAATTATAATTTATAAATATAAGTATAAATAATAATTAATGTACTGTAAATTTTAACACATATTACATTTAGGTATAGTTTAAAAATTATCAATTGCTTTGTATTTGAATAAAAAAAATAAAATGATTTAGTTTAACTTACAGAAATGCATGATATATTGATAAATATATTTAAAATTCTTATAAATAAAAAATAACTAGAAATATATTATTTATATTTAGTTTTTAAAAAATAAAATTTGAATCTTTTTAACATTGAAGTCATGCAAAACTATTGTGACCTCAAATATACTTCAATGACTGCTTATAAAAGACATTTATTTAAAGTATGTACAGTACTGTATATTTTGTCCAATTTATTATTATTATTATTATTGGCTATGAATTTATGTGAACAATGAATATAATGTGACATCAAATGCGAGAATCACTCAAATATAAAGCGATTATCGATTATGAATGAGATGTCTGTTATGTACTGTAGTTATGTTATGTTGGGTTCACTTCAATCTCAATCGTGTTTTGTCACGTTTAGAGACAAACTCTCAAACATAATAAGCAAATAAATAAAATTATTTTATTTTATTTCAACTTTATTTGCTTATTAAATATGGATTTTTAGAAAAGCATATAATTTAATAATATAAATGCACAAATTATAAATAGATAAATATTTTTATTAAATAATTTTAAATAAATTACTAAACAGTGAATGCTTTTGTAAATTATTAAATTTTAAAAACTATATTTAATTTATAATTAAATATAACAACATTATAATTTTATTATTCACTTATTTTAATGTTTATTTGAATAAAAATGTTAGTATTTGTAATCACATTTGTAATAATATGTTTTAAATGTAAAGTTAATTATTTTTTAAAGTAAATATTTTTATTAATGTAAACAAAACTAAATTTTTTGGCAACTATTGTATTATTAAGTTATATAAACTTAATACAGTACTACATACTATTATAATTAACATTTTTGAAAAAATTCTTTATAATGCTTTAATTTACACAAATAACATTTAATTATAAGCTAATTTATTTTTGAATAGTAATTCACATTTCAATAAAAAAAAATTAATTTATATTTATAAAATATTTTATTGTTGTAAAAATATTTATTAATAAAACAATATCTGTCATTTTTTAGAAAATTTGTAATATAAGTTCTAATATTAAGACAGTACCTTCCTAGTCTATTGTGTTAATTTTATATAATATATATTATTTTTTTAATTATAAATGTTTTAAAAATATAAACATAAATGTGTTATATCCGTAAAAATTTAATTAGATTTGTGGTCAACAAAAAGAGATTCAATTGTCTGCATAATAAAACATATTGTTAGTTATAATAGATTATATCCTATATTTATAGCTACTTGACAAAAAATAATAATTATAAAAAAATAGTTTATAATGTAAAGCTTATTAACGATTTGTTTAACACTGTTTTTATATTTTAAATAAAAAATAAATTATTTACAAATAAGTAATTTAATTGATAATACAAAATACAAAGCTTTTTGTATTTTATTTTTCCATTAATAGGAAGCATTAATACCATTGATATGAGATATGCTTTGCTGGACACAAATCTAATCAATTGATTGTATGTAAAAATGTTAAATAAAAAAAACAAATTTTTATAAAAATAAATTTTTAGTTGTTGTTAGAAAGCACTTGAGATTTATTTGTTAAATGTTAAAACTTCATGCATCAAATAATTTACTAGATTTATACACCACTAAAGTACAATACAACTTGTTTATTGTCAAATGTATATTTGTTATACAATATTTTTAAACAAAAACACAAAAAAATTAAATACACATAACAGTAATTTTATGTAACGTTAAATTTATTTTTATGATATATTTATTATATTGATATAATATAATATGGTCTTTTAAGCTTAAACTAGTTATGACAGAAAAATTATAGCCCATTGCCGACACTAATAACAGTGTTTTGAGATATCAATTATTTTTATTGATAAAAATGTGTGCTCATAATTCATTAGTATAGCTTTTAGTACTTTTTAAAATTATTATATTTAATAACTTTTTAAACAGATCTAAAAACAGATAATAAATAAAAATAAAAGTTTACTCATCAATGCATAGCTTTCATTGAATGACAATATTCTGTGTTAACAATAACAACAACCTATCGCTGGTATTATTATTATTAAAATCGTATTTCAATTTATGATTTCATTTGTAAAGACTTTCTCAATAAGTACTTTGACTTTTAGTGAGTGATTATCTTCAGCCGTATGGCATAACTGTGCTCTCATTTGCATATATTGTATTATTGATGTTTGTGACAATAACTATGCAAATAATATAACGGCACCAATAGACAGACAATCTAAATAATATTATATTATACAAAAAAAATTTATATACTATAATAATGTCTATTTAATAAAATGTATAGATTGTGTTCGTATAAAATATATTTCCATATAATCAGTGTATTAATAGTTTGTGGACAGGAATTTGATTCACAAATTAGTGCATCCAATGCATACATTCATAGGAGACCCATAGGGTCTAACAATATACAACCCATACATAAGCATCAACAGCATAGGAATCACAATGTTGTGCTTAACAGAGGAACGGCAGCTCATCCAACAATTTCCAGTCGTCCAGAGTTTACCAGTGAAAGACCAAACAGGGATAGAGAGTCACATCATTCACGAAGAGACACCAGACATCTGACTCATCCACAGTGGAGACAACAAATGCCATACAATACCAATGATGACAATATAAAGTCATTTAATGATAAACACCAAATGTTATCACATAATAGTTATCAACAACACCAACAAAAACGATCGCCAATTCATCAAAAACCACAGAGAAAACAAAAGCCATCGCAAGTGGCTAATCGTAAGACTTTCAATGATTACGATTTTCAACTGCAAAATACTCGCTATCCAGAGATAGTTGAAAATGAGAGACATCTAAGAATTCAGCCACCATTTAGTAGAGACGAAGAATTTGGTCAAAATCATGGTATTGATAGTCTTGAAGAACATAATCTGAGACACTTTGTACCCAATAGTGATTATCCGGATGAAGAGCATCATAACATACAACAAGACGACAACTTAGATGTAGACAATATGATCGCTAATCCAGAGATGCATTTTATGAACCAAATACAGAATAATTTTAATCATCAATATAGACGACCAAATGCTGAGATTATTGGTCACAACAATGAAAGACCAGAATCGAGTAATTTGGGTTTGAAAACAGTTTTACCTAAAAATAGAGATAAAAATCGTATTGAATCTAATATGCGATCATTTGAGGCCTTCTCGAGTGATATCAATCACGAAGAAAATGACAAACAGTTTCCAAATTATAATCTTAATGAACAACAATTTGTTCCTTCAAATCATCAGAGTCTACCTGAAGAGCAAACTGAAGAGTATTTTAATTCACCGGAAACTGATGATCACAATAATGATAATCAATACCAAACTAATCACAATTACTTTCCGCCGCTGAATACCAATGAAGAAGAGTCACAAAAAATTCCAGCAAAATATCAGACAAATAAAGAAAATAATTTACATTTTTTTGGCGATCGATTCAAACAATCAGATCCAAAGAACTTCTATAATAATCGACAGCACAAACAAAATAAAGCTAATCAACAAAATATTCAAAACTATGGCCAACAAAAAACTACAACTTTTTCCAGAAGTTTCAACAATCCATACGAATCGATAAATGTTAGGCCAAAAGTACATCCATTTCAAGGAAACAGAGATTCAAATAATAATAATAATGATAATAATAATAATAATAATGACATTCAACGAATCCAACAAATAAACAAACAGAGAAACCATCAATTCGTGCCGTTTTACGAAAATTATCATAATTTGCACTCAAATAATATACAAAAGACAACAAAACGACCAAACAATTTGAAAGGAAAGCCTATTAAGAAAGAGATTGCAATCGTTAGAGAGATTACCGAAATTATTCCGCAAAATGCCGACAATCATCACCTGCTAAATGACGACCAATTTGATGATACCATTTCCATAGCTACTCCTTCACCACCTAAGTTGCCCAACATTTTTATGTCTTTCGATGAAGAAAACGATCAAAAACTTGTTCAACAACCAGATCTGGGAAAAGACGAACACTTTTATGACGACGAAGAATATATGATATTAGATGTGGACACTACTACTACAACCACAACCACAACAACACCAAAACCAAGAGATATATTCGATGACGAAGACATTGAGGAATTGACTAACAATAAGTTTGCCAAAGAAGTYGATTTAAGTGCCGATGAATTGGAAAAATATTTTGACAAAGAGTTTATAGTGGAACAGGAAAAAAACGAAGACGGAACCAATCAACAGGTTGTCTTCGATGACGAACCAAAAGAGTCAAATCAAGAAGTGTCCAAAAAAGATACCGAAAAGACTAACGAAAAGATTGATGAAAATAATGACGATATGGAACTCGAGTACAAATCATCGGATGATTTCCACAAAAATCACGAAAACTTTTTGCAAAATATTGAGAAAGAAAATGAAAAATTTCGACAAAGAACTGATGACAAATTGACAGAAACAGACAGCGATGAGATTGAATTGGATCAGACAAACAATACTACAAATGTTGAGTCCGATGTCGAAAAAGAGTTGGACTCAAACAGCGAGATAAAGGACAACAATGATAGCGAAGAAGACAAACAAAAGTCGGATAATAACAATAACGACAGTAATGAACAAAATAATAATAACAATGGTGTGAACGACAACGATAACAAAGATTCAAAGAGTGGTACCAATGATACAGAAGATGACGAAGAAAGTGAATCAAAACAAGTGTCAGAAAAAGAGGAAATAAAAGAGGAAAAGACTGAAGAACTGAAAGAAGAATCAAAAGAAGAACATTCAGACGATGAGAAAAATAATAACAAACAAAATAGTGAACAAACAGAAGAAGACAAAGAAAAAAACGATAAACAAAATATAGATAACAAGGAAAATGAAGAGACAACTAATGATGACAAAAGTGATGACGAAAAAGTAGATGAAGACAAAAGTGATGATAAGGAAGATAAAGAGTTATTAAAAGAAGAATCAAAAGAGTCGAAAAATGAGTTAATAAAATCAAAAAGAGGAGTCAATGAAGAACAAGAGGACAACAGAGGACAAGAATCGGTGGCTAAACATACGGCTGAGAAATTGATTGGTGGATCAAATGGTGATTTAAATGATAAGACATTAGTTGAGATGAAACCAAACAAATTGAATAAAACTCTAAGGATATCACAGAACCATAACTTTGCGCCGGTTTTTATCGATCTGAAGCGTATAAATCCCAATCTTAAGATAACTACTGGCGTTAAAAATGGTGAGACAGAGCACACCACTCATTGGCCGACAACATCTGCTACTGATATAAAATCTGGGATCAGCTCGCAGTCCGCAATTGATGAACACAAGGCTCAATGTAAGCGCTTTTTATTATTTATTTTTTTGTGTGGATTTCATTGAAGTATACATAAAAAAAACAAAACTCAATACAAACATTTGAGACATTTTATTATTTATCACAATATACAGTATATCGCATGAATACTGTTTGATTATTTCAATATATATTTCAGTAATATTATCAATATTTTATATATGTTTGTCTTTTTTTCGTACGTAAACTATTGTGTTTGAATATATTTTGTATAGAATATTCTGTAAAAATTAATTTGTATTTTTTAGATACTATGAATTCAGAGTCTAAACCGGCTATAACTGGCAAAAATCACACCACCACTGGTCTTAGGTATGCCGTCAACAGTATTAAAGATATAATTAAATCTTTTAACATATAAATTAGGGTAAATTATATAAAAATAAATTTAATTTTTTTTGTAATAGACAAATATTTTACTGCATTTTGTTTATATCTAGTAATAGTCAATGATAAAAGTGCTGTAATTTATTTGATTTATTTTTAATTATTTGTAATTAACATTTTCTAAATATATTAAATTCTGTTTATTTTTATATAAACTTTTGTTATAATATTTAGTCATTAATTAGTTTTTCGTGTATTTGTCTTTTAATGGTATGAACTGTATTAAGTTGTGAGCTATAAGAGAGTGAGAATATAGTTTAGGATAAAATGTTTCATTAAAAGCTAGAATCTATTAAATTAATAATAAAAGCACTGAAAAAAGTAACAAATTGTATGATAAGTAAAATTAATGAATAAAATTCAATTTGTAATAAACAAAAAAAACAGCTATTTTTAAACATTTAACTATTTTTGACTACTCTGTATATATTTTACTATATTATCAAAACTATTATAAAATATCTCTCCATTCTATATATAATTTATTATATAATAATAATAAAAATAAATTTGTTATGAAAAGACTAATGATAATTGGTTTAGTTTTCCATAAATATTTTTTTTGTGGCATTTTGTTGATATATCTTTACACATAATTTTTTATTAGTAAAGTTAATGTTGATTAGAGTATGGGGTGTCTRTTGAGGAGTAAATTTATATACAATCAAATGGACGCTTATGTAGTATACTGTTACACAATACTGTATACATTATAATTTATAGTGTTTATTGGGATTAGAGACACAGCAAGTAATGTACAAAATATTTAGTGAACCCAAAAATAATGGTTATTCAAGTATAAGGATTGGTTATTTTGGGAAATCACATGTGTCAACATATATACAGTATAGTGTGTGTGTGTGTGTGTGTGTGTGTGTGTGTGTGTGTGTGTGTGTGTGTGTGTGTGTGTGTGTGTGTGTGTGTGTGTGTGTGTCTATAAGGCATCTACTTATAATATGGATGTTATTATAATAATATATAATTGTCAATATCATAAATATTATATAACAGTATAGTCAATATATAACTGTAGGGCTAATAGGTTGGRTACTATAAATATCAAGTGATGGCAAAAATTGTATCGCAAAATCACATGACTGACCCCATAAGTAAATGTGGCAAAAATGTTAATATATAATACTTTCAAATTAATATTTCAAATAATAATAATTCAATTTGTGTGAACTACAGTATAATGCAGTATATGATATGTTAATCAATTAAATGTTGGCTTCAAAATGTGTATCTAAATTACTTGTTATCCGCTGTCTAAGTGATTTCGGAAATAAAAACTCATACGTTATGATAATATATGGGCACAACTAATACACACACGCATAGAGAGAGAGAGAGAGAGAGAGAGAGAGAGAGAGAGAGAAAGAAAGAAAGAAAGAGAGATAATACACACACAAATACATACATTTAGATTGAATATCGACATCAAAACATCCATCAACTCTTGGATCAGAAATATTTTTGATATCTTATCGCAAATAACAATAAATTGAAGTAATATTTGGTAACCGTTTTTATTGGACCAGCAATGCATCACTGTCTTCAATGATATCCAAATAGTGTCTAAATGGTTGTCCAAATGATATTCACATTTTATCTGTAAGTAAAATATTTAAATAGATATTTAACAAAATATTTTAACTTAAAAAGTTACTAAAATTTTATTTTCCAAACAGTTTAATTATGTACATATATTAGATTCACATAAATATAATTAAAGAATTAAAAAAATATATATAATTATAATCTAACAAAAATAAAATATTAATGGATATAAAGTAAGTTATATTTGATTTTAATTGAATTTAATTTGCAGCAGTTGTAGGAAACGCCCATCAAATCAAATTTGATTTACATGTGTTTCTAAATATTTAATTATTGTTTTGAAATTAATTATAATTTGTGTTTAAAATGAAAAATATATTATAAATAACATATTATATCAGACATTGCTATTTTAATAAATATAGTACAGTAAGATAAAAATATTATAACAAAAATCAATGTCTGCACCAAATTTTTGTATAGATTTTTTACAGTCACTATATAAGGATGGATATACCGTAATTTAATATATCACATACATAATGAAAATCAATTTTATTGCTTTCATTTAATATCATAACTTTATGAGCGAAAGAAATAGTAGTCTCTCTCTCTCTCTCTCTCTCTCTCTCTCTCTCTCTCTTTCCTATTACATTACTCTAAGTACTTTCAATTATAATTATTTAATAAAACAAATAATAACTGCATTTGAAGTAAACAAAAATAAGAAATAATTTCAAATCTCTTAAAAATCGTGTCTCGAAATATTTTAGCTAAAATTACATGAATCTGAAGAAAATCTTTAAGAAAACAAAGATATAAATGTGAAATGAATGAATGAATGAATGAATGAATGAATGAATGAATGAATGAATGAATGAATGAATGAATGAATGAATGAATGAATGAATGAATGAATGAATGAATGAATGAGAGAGAGAGAGAGAGAGAGAGAGAGAGAGAGAGAGAGAGAGTTTGTGAAAACTAAAAGAGAGAACTATTGAATGGTTTGTTTTGGAGGCAAACAACTGATTGTCTAAATAATCCAATACATCAAAAAAGTTCACAGAATTGACTGCAAATGCATTTTATGTTACAATGTTTATTGTAATGGATTTCAGGCATTGAATTACACAATCAAATCCGTTATTCATATAATCAATTGATTGCAAACTTATTTAAAAATTACTAGAATTTTTATGTTTTTTATATTATTGTATTATTTATATCGATTATTAATATAAACTTATTAAATTAATGCTATTATTAAACATTTAATATTTATAATAATACTACAATGTTTGTATACACAAGTGTTGCGATTTGGTGGGTAGGGTGGGGTTTAGCCCCTCTCCCATAGACAAAGATTTTGGAGATTTTAATTAATATATTTTGATTAACTAATTTTTATGTTTTAATAACTCATTTACAACAAATTATTAAGTAAAATAATTAAACTTTAGTTATTAGTAATTTTTATTAAAAACATTTAACTTAAAAGTTAGAAATGAACTATTTTTTAGAATGATAAATTTTATTTTAAGTCAATTATGATTTTAAAGTAGTAGTAATAATAATAATCGTAGAATACTAGTACTCATTAATTACTGTATAATTATTAATGTAAAATTATTTTTTATTTTTAAAATTTAAGTAAAATTTCAATAAATTTGGCGAAAATATGAGAATTTATTGGAAATATTATCCAATTTTTCTGGGAATTTTMGGGAAATTTGAGAATTTGTAAGGAATTTTCTCATAACTTCCACCCTTGTTGGGTAAAAAATGCAATAATGTCGATTTCCCCCCCCCCCCCCCCCCAGTACCCTGCACATTATTTTGAAATTTTTGTGAATTGACCCCTCCCCCTTCACCCCCATAGAACAAAAGAACTGCCGCAACCCTGGTATACACATAATTGAGAAAAATTAAATCAATCATTTTATTCATTTGCTATATAATTATTATTTGTGTAAAACAGTAAATTACTGGATTATATTACAATTGAAAGTGAAATGAACTGTAAATAAAGATAAGATATCCAATGGAGTGCATACATGTCATTAAAAAACTGATAGTCAATGGTTATGTAATAAACCATTATTTACTACATATTTCTATTGAATTGTTTGTGTCTGACATTTATTTGTTGGTTTTTTGGCTATTTTTGTTGTGACTAAATATACACGAAAATGGTTCAAATCATATGTATTGTTGTCACGTTTGCATCATTCAAGACATGGGCACCAGTAGTAGTATTACCTACACTATTGGTTATTGAATATCATGTATACCACTAAATCCAAGACCTACTCTCTCTCTCTCTCTCTCTCTCTCTCTCTCTCTCTCTCTCTCTCTCTCTCTCTCTCTCTCTCTCTCTCTCTCTCTCTCTCTCTCTGCTAATACTTTATCTTATCGTTCATTTCTTTGCCATCACATCGTTGTGTTTGATAAGAATGACAAACATTTTTATTGTCTAAAAAATCTCAGTCAGAGTTCTTTGACATTAAGTTTGCTTTTATTTTTTATTATTATTATTTTTATTGTATTATTATTTATCTAAAAATTTATTTTAATGCACTAAACGTTGTTATTATTAAATGTAGTGAATCTAAAAATTTTAGACATCACTATGAGAAATAATTTTTATATAATATTATAAAATTAAAAAAATATATATATAAAGCAGATATTTATTTTAATAAAATTTTTTATATATAAATTTTTTATATATAAATTTTTTCAAATATATACACCAATTGTTTCGTATTATATGATTGTGTGAGATATTATAAATAGCTTCAAAAAGATGTCAAATAGCAGTTGAGTTAAAAAAGATCACATATTTTTGTCGTATCAATGAAAATGGCTTTTTTTACTCTCGACTATCATTTCCTTTATGTTATGAAAGATATGTTTCAAAAATGACTTGTCTTTTATTGCATAAAAAAAWTTAAAATAATAATTTGACTTAATTTTACAGAATTTAATGTGCCTAAAAATAATTTATTAAAAAATAATTTACATAGCTAAAATATGTTTAATAACCTTATTATTTGTTCAACTTTTATGCATAAATAAATTATAGGGACTTATTTTATAGCTTGTTTTATATAAAACGACAAATTTTATTATATAAAGTAAAGCATTTTCAATTGTTGACATTTCAATAGTGGATTTATAAATATTATGTAATATAAAGAAAATAAAATTTAATACAAAATATAGTGGTTTAAAAATATCGCTAATTTAAAGTAATAAAATTTTTATAAATAGCATATTATAGAGAATATATCCAATTAGCTAATAGTAAACAACAGTTAAAATAATACTGTATTTTTYAAATGTTAAAAATATTTCAGGCATTCAATTTAATTTTTAATACAATAGTTAAGTACAAAATTATAATTTTTATATAAAAAAATCTTTTTGTTTAATATATATATATTTTTTTATTTAAAAGCAAGTACAGTAAAACTATTTTTTTATTACAAAAATATCAAAAAAGTAAATAAAAGAGATTATTATTTAAAGAATGTTAATAATATACTGATTTTTATTTTAAATTTAAACATTCATTTGAATTGACAGATACCGTAAGTTTTACTACAAAAAAAGTATAGTATTAGTATTGCAATATTTTATTAAACAATATGTATAACTGTTATTCATTATTACAGTATATGAGTAATAAACATTAAAATAATGCAAATACAAGTAATTTACATGAATAAATACATTAGTATTTTATTTAATATATAATTGCATAAAATTATATTAATAGCATTGCTTTGTGTACATATGTATTACATATGTATAGTATTAAAAAATAATAATACAAGTAGTTGTGTAAGTTTTCATAAAAATAAATATATTAAATATTTAATATCAATTCATTATTTAATTAGTAGTACATGTAATTAGATTTATTAACTAAACGCACGATTTGTTTATATTTATTGAACAAACTTTTTTTTATTAAATTAATTGCTTTAATAAGCAATTCGTTTGATTAAATAAAAGATATTGTACTCATGTGTTGGTAAAACAATAGTTTTGTGATAAAATAAAAATAAATTAGAAGTAAAAATAACTTCAAGGTAAAACTATAGACAAGCAATTGAATTGATTTTAACAGACAAAATACTGTATAATAAAATATAACTGATTTTTTGTGAATAAATTTAGTGAAAATACTGTGTGGAAGTCATCAGTAATTGTTTAGACAATAACAATAAGATAAGACAAACTCTTATTTGTTAATAACTAACTACTCATACAATTTTAATGCATTTCTCATCTCTTAAATACAACATTAAARGACTAACAAATAATGAATGCGTTTAACTATTTGTGAAAACTTTTTGAATTCAGAGATAAACATATAAAAAGAAAATTAAGAGTTAGAGAGAGTGAAAGAGAGAGAGAGAGAGAGAGAGAGAGAGAGAGAGAGAGAGAGAGAGAGAWAGAGAGAGAGAGAGAGAGAGAGAGAGATAGATAGAGAGAGAGAAAGAGAGAGAGAGAGAGAGAGAGCAATGAATGAGCCAACACAATATCAAAACTCTTCCCAAAGTATTCCCAGTATTTTATATCTGTTTTCCCTTTACTTACAATTCATTGACAGTCTTATGGCTCAAGAGCTAAATTTTTGCGGCTTTTATTTAATTGAATATTTTTTGTGTTTTAATTAATTTTRCTCATTAGTATTATTAACATTGATGTTATTTTGCTTTTTATAGATTTAAAAAAATAAATATCAATTGCTTTTTAAACATTAGTATTTTTATAATAATAATAAAAACTGTAAATTTACAGTATCTATACTTTTACTTTATATATAATAATTATATAATTTGTTCATTTAATCTTATGTTTATATTTTTGCAACGCTTTTTACAAACACGTATTTTTGTGAAAGTTTCTAAAATATAAATTAATATTACAAAACCATAAAAATAAAATTTATATTAAACTTAATTAACTAATATTCAAAGTAAATAACTATCATTAGGTTTACAAATAGCTTTAGTATTTGATATAATTATTCTTGAAAAAATACTATCACTATTTTTTATATTAAAGAATATTATTAATTTGTATTAACATTATATATTATATAAATTATCTAACATTTATAATTATATATTTGATTATTATATTTAATAGAACATATACTATATCATTGGTACAGTACTAGTAACAGTCACAAAATATTATAACTTTATATTATAATTTAAAATGATATTTATTAATAAATTAAAAAAATAATACATAATAATTTTATAAATAATTCGTGACAATATATTGTGACAATTGATAATATAAATAAATAAATAGATTAAATGACATTAAATATAAAGCCATTTAGAGAATTTATTAAATTTCTTCGACTTATTAGTAAATATTTTATAATAAAATTTACTGTAAAAAGTTGACAATTTTATATGATTTATATTTTAAAAGTATTTATAGATTAACATATAATAATACCGTAATAATATCATAAATATATACCATATAATTTTCAGTATTATTAATATTTGCATAATATAAGCACTTACTGCTATAGTATTATTATACAGTATATTAAATTTTCCAAAAATTGATTTTTTAATTATTTATATAATTTCGAAAAATCATCCAAATTATTAATAATTATTAACTTTTATTGACATTACACATAACTACTACAGTATATGATAATTATAATATAAATTTATAATATAGACATGTCTAGCACAAAATTTAAACTATTTTGTATCAAATTGTAATATATTATTTAGCAAAAATATATATTGCATCTTCAATAAATTACATATATACAATATATAGATTTATTATATAGTTTTGTTGTGTCCAAATTTAAGCACTAACCAATAATTTATGATAACTTATACTATATATATATACACTAAACATTTTCAGAACAAACTCGGTACTTTTTTATTTATGTTACTTATGTTTTTTGTGCTACATTTGATAATTATAAAAGATACCATATTGTCATGTGTTGTTTAAAAAAATGCGACATCATTTATGTAATTATATAATTATTTAATAGAGATATAGTTACACAAAAAACATATGTAATATACATAAAAAGGGTCCGAGTTTTCGATAGCTCATAATCCGTGTATAGTATATATTGTTGCCGAAAGTGTTGACACCAAAAAAATGATATTATATCTAAAAATACTGTTTTGAACGCAACACTGTATTTCTAGTGATAAGAAATGATGACTACTTGTCATTGAGAATAAGCTCAATATTTTTAGACAAACTTTATAATAAATAGTATATCATATCTCCTAAATATGTAATGTTGAAAAAATGTCACAAATTTACAATTTATTTTTTAACACTTTTTTATTTTTTCAAAAATATATCATCTATTATTAAAAATATAATTTTAAATAATGTATTTTTTAATTGATAACTTAATATAGTACTGTATATGTTAAATATAAAACAATATTTACCAAATATTTGTAAATATAAAATTTATTTATATTTAAATTGAAAGTTTAAAAATAAATTATATAAACTATGTTTTCCATAAATACAAAGATTAGTATTAACTATAAAAATATACATTTAAGTTTTAATTTGTTTAAAATTAAGTAAATATAAAAATTATAAACTAAAAATAATTATAATTTGTGATCAAGCATTGCCTTTAGTTGATTGCCTTAAATGCAGTGTTTTTGACTATCTAATTGACTCATACTATAAATGATAGATTATATATTCAATACAAATAAAATAAAATAACACTTGATTTTGTTTTAATGGCATTATTATATCTATGTTTAGATTTTAGAGACATTCACATTATTAACTGATACAWAAAAATTATTTTAATTAATAAACATTTATATAATTTTATTGTTGTCAATGAGTCCAACCTGTTTGCTTAMATCGTTCATTAAATCTTGCAATCGTTGATATGTTTTTGTAACCTTATTGATCTCCCGTTCCTCAATTAGCTTAAACCACTCAAATAATGTCAGTTTTGACTGAGGTTTGCCTAAATTGGCAAAATAGCAGTCATTGTTGCGTTTGTGTTCAATCGACGGGTCGTCCGATTGATCCCAACCGTCCAACTCTTTGAAACAACAGAAACATCTGACAAGATCTTTGCCATCATTGGGACAGTGATAGAAACCATAGGCACTCATGTTTTCTTTAGTACACTTGCCGTCCATTAATGGCCAGTCCTTATAGGAATTTAATCGGTTTGTTTCCAATATCATCTCATTATCTTTGATTTCAAACTCATTGATCACCTCTTTAGTGGTCGACATCTTTTTTGACTTTATTTAAAGAATTTAAAACTATTATAATATTTTGTTGAAAAAATAATACAATTATTTAATAATAATTATTTATATTAACTTTGAAATTATTAACTACCAAATAAAATTATTGAATTATATTTGTATACTGCCACTGTGTAATTGTGTAAATTGTAAATAATATTATAATATAAAATTAAACACTTTGACAGTTGAATACAAATATTATTGGCTTTATTTTGAAACTATTAATTTTGAAATAAAATAATTGTGATCAGATAATGCTTGACAATACATATTATGTTATCAATTTTCTTATGGTTACGACAGTTAGGTTTATTTATTTGCGTAAGTTTATTGCTAACCAAATACCAATGTAGTATAATGATATAAAATCTTATAATATTTATATTTTTGTTATCAATAGTTTTTAATATTAAAATGTAAAATTGTTTCAACGTTTATTTGAGTATTAAATTATATTAAAAACCCATGGGGTTAACATTGACAATTTATTTAACCTGCTTTTAAGTGTGTATAACATTTATCGTTTTTGATTTTGAATAAAATTTAAAAATTTTTAGTCAATCGAAATTTTTTTGGTGATGTTATGTGAAATATGTATATAAACTACATGTGTAAATAAATATATGTTTAATATTACATTTTTTGACTTTATTGCTCATCTAATAGTGTTTTTGGCTTTTAATACACATACAATATTGTATAAAAGTTTATGCCTTCAAATAAAGTCAAAGATATAACTTTTATGCATAAAATCATTTTATATTTGCTTGAAATGGTGTTTTTATGATATTTTCTATGGAAATAAACTATTTTTATGTATACTTTAAGTATTCAGAGGTAAACAGTATTTATTGAGTGCTACAGTAAATGATTTTGATTTTTCATTTAATATATTATATATTTCTTTTTTGTCATCACTTAATATATTAAGTTAAAATATAATATATTCACACACAGAAAAAAAGTAAAATGTTTTCTCTCACATAATATTTATTATAACATTAATATAAAATCGGTGTTAGAAATCTTAAAATGTTTTCGACAGCTTTTCAACACACATTAAAAATAATATTTAAAGATTTAAAGACATTTTTATTTTTCATATGTGACTTTTTTTAATAAGTATATGAAAAAAATAAAGTTAAACATGAATGTACTGTTGAATTGAAGCAAAAATAAATATATAAAGTTATAATAAAAAAATTATTGATTTTTTTCGGTTGATGAAAAATAAATTAATCTATAGTAATAATAGATGCATTGGAGTGAAAGTAACTAAATATTTTAAAATTGTATTAAATTTGTGCCAAATATGTTTTTATTGTAATATATAGTTTAATATATATAATGTATCATAATTGAGATGCCATACCAATAGAGATAGAGTAGATATGATTGTATGTTTGGATAACTACTTTGTTTTCGGTATTTAATAAATTCAAAACATTTTCATTGGCTATAGTATTGACCAAAAATTTAAACATTTGATTAAATGCTTGAACAGAATTGATCACTGATTTCATATTAGATTTGGTTCATTAATCCTATGCCTCGAATACAAACTTATTTAACTTATTTTGATTGTCGATCCAAACGAAGAAAAAGAAAGAAAGAGAGAGAGAGAGAGAGAGAGAGAGAGAGAGAGACCACCACAACATAATCGGAGGGATTCAATGATTACATGTTTTGACGACCAGTTTTAATGGTTAGGAATATTCTCTATCGACTTAAATGTCTTTTTCACAGTTAAACTGATGAGCACCGACAGGAAGAGCATGAATGTTAGTGAGCGCATGTTATATACTATTGAAACAGTGCTTATGCTTACTGGCGAACGGCATTCAAAACCAGTATGTAATATATGCTGTGCTGTCGTGCAAGTGATGCCTTTCCTCGCACACAACCAACCAATTCTTCAAAGTGTATGTTATTTCGTATACAAAGAGCTGAGAGTGCGATAAAAATGTATGAAACCTCACTATTATTAACTATTGACTGCCAACAGTTCAGAGACAAAAGCAAACAATTGTCTTTATAATACAAATTAAGGTCTAAACCGATGTCTAACTGAGCCGAGAGTACAATACATTTGTCACGTGTTTATCGCTCTCGGAGTCAATCACTTAGGCATTTGATTTTAGTTATCGGACCGATAGCTTTCAAATAGTGTGTACTGTGTGTATGTGTGTGCTGTCGATCGTTAAAAAACTGATATATATTTATATACACATCAATACATCAGTAGATTTTTTGTGAATCTCTTATAGTGTTGTTGTTCACCGGAAAAAAATATAATAATAATAATACTTTAAAGTTAAAAAATTTATCCTAACTTTAAAGTAAAGTAAAAATATATTTTACATATAATTTCCATTCCTTACTAAACTCTTGACTACATTTTATGCATCACTGGTATGTCTCTCTCTTTTATACCGGTTTTTTCGATACTAACTGTTCAACGATACGTTTACTTACAAACACTGTATGATTTCATTTCATGTATAATAATCATTTCATCCAATCTTTTCTAAAGACTTTATTATTATTATTATTATTATAATATATATCATTATGATATACAATGAAATATCAAAAAAAATATTGCATAACAATACATAAAAATAATTTTTAAAAATATTGTTATCACAAGTATGTGATCCAATGACTAAACTAAAAAGTTCAATAAAAAAAATACTTATCATATGTATAAATAAGATATATTCATTGACTGGATTTTATTATGAGATTAAGCTTTAAGACAAATGGTAAGTAAAATCTATAATTAAAAGCAAAATTAATTAAAATTTTCAACAAAATAAAGAGAAAATTTTTGTAATTAATTTTGCTAAATTGCTTATAATTTTGGTATTAAATTACTTAAAGGCAAATACACTCAAATGAAAAGATCATATATTTTCATGAATTAAAAAGGTTTTGAATTCATTGATAGTTATTATGTTTGTTTCATTTATAAAACGTTACAAACAAAAAGTTTATCTAATTTAACGCTAGATTTCATGTCTTGGATTCAAGTCATGAGTTGTTTTTGATATTTATTTACAGYCTCTCTCTCTCTCTCTCTCTCTCTCTCTCTCTCTCTCTCTCTCTCTCTCTCTCTCTCATGTTGTCTATGTTGTCATTATACTGTATATATCTTTTTATTAATACAACTTAAATATAGTAAATTGATTTCAAATTAAGAGATGAAAACTGAAAAAAAACATATTTATTCGCCGAATACTAAAAGTGTTTGATATTATAGTAAAATTTAATTAAATACATTTTATTTATTATATATTTATTTGTAATATAAATACAATTTGATAGCAATTTTATTTGATGTTTTTAAAAACTGTCTATAATATCGTAATTTAATTCATAAAATTGTTTAAATACTGTTGACATTTTAAAGGATAAAATTTAAAAACGATATTTTAAAAATATTATCATAATTAGCTTCTTACTGTATATACACATAATAGTTTTACTAATATAAAATGTTCATAATTTGAAATTATATTTTTTTGGTTGAATAATTTATTGTATTTTTATTTAAACATTTATATAAATACAATCGTAAAGCAGTGTATTAGTATTATATTAGTTAATTACAAAATATACTTAAAATTAATGTTATATTTCATAAAAATAGTAAAGTAAAAAAATTATCAAAAAAATTAATAATATAAAATCTATGTTATGTTTGAGAAATATGATTAACTTTATATACTTAAGTAAAATAAATCATAATAGAGTACATTGAAAAAAATATGTTGTCTATACGTTTTTAATATATAGTACTGTATTATATATTATATCGAATAGCACTACAGTATAAAAAACTACTGATTTTACTCGTTATATACTACTGTATATGTTATATAATAAAATATTTATACACACAATATATACTAGTACTGTATAAATATCATAATATGATTATTTTTTAGCCAAAAAAAATGAAACCAAATTTCTAGAGCAAAGCAAATATTGGGAATTTTTGTTGTTGTCTCAAATTGATAGTGAATTGACTGCTAGTTATTGTATTTATTTTTATGTCATGAATAGTCTGTCTATTTATAACTCATTATAATTTCTAATCAAAAAAAACTTTCTCATAGTTTTTTAGATAAATAAAATTTATTTAGAGATATGAAAGACGGCATATTTTGTAAGCAACAAAAAACAAAACATAAAAACTTTATTATTTTGACTAAACACACGAATGGCTGCTCTTTTTCCATATGAAATGTAAATACAGAGTCAAATAAAACTAAAATAATGATATTTAATGTATTATATTTTGAAAGCCTTTAAAACCAAATTTGATTGTTTACTAAAATACTGTACAGTATATTGATTTTAAAGTTAGTTTTTTGTGGCAAATCTATTATATAATATACGGTCTATAATTTATATAAAGTATAATATATTCTATAATATCAAATATAATTTATATATATATATATTTATATAATTACTATTGATATATTGTAACAATATTAGCTATAATATTATAGATAAATTGTGTGCTGAAAAAAGTGATATCACGAAAACAAAACAGTGTTTACAAAATAGTGATGAATCATAGATTAATATATAAAACTTCAAACCATATAACTACTAATAGTAAATGGGAAACACTTTTTTGACTTTAACTTATTTGATATGATTGAACAGTGCCTATAGTTTGTTGTTATTATGTGTCACATTATATTAAGATTTATTTATTTATTTATTCACTTTTACTTTTATATTAAATAAGAGAAATGCGATACTCTAGTGAATTRTGTGCTTTCAATACATATTAACATCAATTCTTAAAATTTTACCAAAATTTCAATCAATATCTATAATTATTAAATAACAGTATATCTCCTGTATTATAAGTAAAGAAATTATTTAATAAAAATATATAATTTTGAAAATTTAGTWAAATTATGTAAATTCAATATAGCATTAAATGGTGTTATATATATAAATATATATAAT